CCCAACCTCTACCACCTCTACCACCCCTATCCCCCCCTCCCCCTCAAACAAAAAAAAAATATTTTAGAAAAATATTTCAATTTTTTAAAATTTCATTTTTTACTCCACCCATACCCTGACCCCCCTCCCCCCTCCCCTCCATCAATTTTTTTTAAAAAAAAATTATTTTTGAAAAATATTTTTAATTTAATTTTTTTCATTGTTTACGCCACCCCCAACCCATGCCACCCCGTCAATTTTTTTTTAATTTTTTTTTTTTTGAAAAATATTTCAAATATAAAAAATTATCATTTTTTACGCCACCTCCATCCCTATCCTCTCTTAACCCCCCCCCCCCCCCCCCCACTCCCCACCTAGGACACCACATCAAAATAAAAAATTATATATATTTTTAAAAAAATATTTCAAATTTAATAAAAATTCATTTTTTACGCCACCCACCCTAACCCCCTCCCCCCCTCGGCACCCACCACCCAGGCCACCTTGTCAAATTTCTTTTTTTAAAAAAAAAAAATTATTTTGAAAAATATTGCAAATTTTAAAATTTTCATGTTTTATGCCACCCCTACCCCTACCCCTACCCCATCCCCAAGCCCCCCCCCCCCCCCACCGCTGCCCCGCCCCTGACCCGTCAATATTTATTTATTTTAAAAAAAAATATTTTTGAAAATTTTTTATATGGGTCGAAAGTTTGAGTCAGATCTTAGGTTCGGATTTTGGAATGGTCATCGGGGTCTTGTCCTAATTCTGGTGTGAAGGTCGGGTTCCACATCAATTATCGGGATTGATTTTCGGATAAAAAATTATTTTCCTAAAGAATATTTTCTAGTCTCAAGCCAAAAATAAAAGATATTTTCTGGAAAAAACATTTTCTACTCACCAACCAAACATGAGAAAATAAATTAGAAATCCACTTGTTTTTCAAGAAAACATTTTCTAGGAAAACAATTTCCATTGAAAACATTTTTCTTCATACCAAACACACCCTAAATCTCTCCTAAAAAAAATTCTCTAGACGACTATATTGTGAATATTATGTGTTCTTGTGAAAAAAAAAATCATTAATTTAAGCATTGACTAAATATGGAAGAGATCTTTTTCAATAAGGCAACTTTTTTTCACCAAGAAAATATTCCAGAGACAAACACAATTATGATAGAATTCAAATAACATAGAAAATTGAGGACAAACATTAACAAATCACCCCTGACCTGAATTTTCCTAGCAAATAATCTTGATCCACTTCTTTACATAACCTTCATCATTACTACTTGCCAGGATTAAAACTAGTAAGATCTAATTATTACGATTAGAAATAATTTTAAAATATTGTTGTTTTTATTTTTAAAGATGAAACGGTAGAAATATTGAAAATATGGTTAGAACTTTGTTGGAATCAAAATCACATCGTGCAAAAGCTAATAATTACAAATATTAACAATGATAAATTAAATGACAAACGAAAATTGTAAAAATATTATATGTATGATATGAGTTTGGTCAATTGTCCTACATATGATAATTCTAATATAAGAATATATTTTAAAACTATTAAGAGAGTAATTTTTCCTTAAACATAACTCTCTACACGACTAAGTTGTGGATGTTGTTGTGTATTCTTCTGAGAAAAAAAATAATCTTCAAGTTGTAGAAGTTCAATATTTTTCCGCTAAGAAAAACATAACTCAAAAATGGAAGAAATCATTTTTAACAAGAAAACCTTTTCGAAGTAAATTGTAAAGTAGAAAATTCAAATAAGGTAGAAGAGTCGAGGCAAATTCTAACATAAAAGTCACGATTTGAAAAATTTAATCAAGCGTGATAAAATTGTATAATTAATGGAGGGTCAATTTTAAGCTTGAAAATAGCATTAACGGTAACTTTGATTCAAAAGGTGAAACTTGGAAGAAAAATATTTTTGAGTCATTTTTGATATATTAAGAGCGTTTTTTGACCTAATTGGTGGAAGGAGAGAATTTAATTCAATAGGTTGAAAAAGGATATTCTTTTGGGTATTTTAAATAAATACGTTAGGATTGAGGACATGTACGATAGAACCAAGACTAGGGTGAAGTCAATTTTCCACTCTGAGCATTTCCTAGTCATGATGGGGTTGCACTAGGGATCAACTTTTAGCCTTTTTTTTGCACTAGTTTGGATGAACTAACGCGGCATAACCAAGGTGAGATGTCATAGTGTATGTTTCACAAATAATATAGTATTAATTGATGAGATATGCGGTAGAGTGAATGTTATGCTAGAGGTTTGAAGATAAATTCTGGAATTTAAAAGTTTAGGCTGAGCAGGATCAAAATTGAATACTTGAAGTGTAAGTTCAATGATGTTACACATGGAATCGGCGCGGAAGTAAACCTTAACGCTCAGGTCTTCCCCAAAAGAGAGGATGTTGCGAGTATATCTGGGTTCTTTAATTTAAGGTAATGAGGATATCAATGATAATGTCACCCATTGTGTTGGTACAAGATCATGAAATGGAGGCTCAATCCAAAGTCTTTTGTGATAAGAAGGTACCGCTAAAAACTAAATGTAAGTTCTACAAAGTGGTAATTAGAGTGAATATGTTGTATGAGACAAAGTGTTGCCTAGTCAAGAACTCACATGTTGAAAAGAACAAAGTTGCGGGTGGAAGCACACTGCCATAACATAATGGTAAGGTGCGAAGCTACACTTCAAAGACAGAGTCACTAGATTTCAGCATTTTCATTGCTATATAATATGAGGATGTTGAGATGAATTTGTGGGTATACTAAGAGAGATAATATTAGGAATGAAGATATCATGGACAAGGTAGGAACAACTACCATGGTGAACAAGATGAGAAAAGTGTGACTGAAATAATTTAGACATGTGTAAAGGAGAAGTGTAGATGCTCTAGTAAAGAGGTGTGAGAGGTTGCCAATGGTGAGCATCAAGAGAAGTAGATGTAAGACAAAGAAGTATTGAGGGCATGTAATTAGATATGACATGTTGTATCTTGGGCTTACCGAGGACATGACCCTAGAAAACAGGATTTGGAAGTTGCAGTTAAGGATAAAAGGTTAGCTGGTAATTGAGTGTTCTCTCCCAATTTCCTACAGGATAGGCTTCGTGATCATACTTAGACTTAAATTCTTATCGGTGGTATTAGCATTATAGATATAATTTTTTTGTTCTTCAGATATCCCCGTGTTTTTATGCTTCAATTATTGCATTTTATGTATTCTCTTTTTCAAATTGTTTGGATATGCTTTATTTTAAATTAAGGATCTATCAAAAACAACATATCTTTACGAGGTTGGAGTAAGATCCACACTCTTTATCCTTTTCATAACCCACTTGTGAAATTACAACGGATATGTTGTTACAACAAGTATGTTTTTATAAACTCTACATGGGCAAGTGCAACTCTCCTGATCATACTCTCATATCCATTCGTGCAAAACTTCATATAAATAATTTACCGAATATTTTCATTACCTTCAGAACCTAACACAATAAAAACCTTTTGCTTAGCAAGAAAATATTTTCTTTGAAAAACAGTTACGTCATATCAAATGCACCCTTCTTATCCTATAGTTCTCATCCAGTTTCGGCGCTTTTAAAAACAAACTGCTCTATAAAGCCACAAATCCATCGAGCTTGAAGCCAAAAAGCGTGCAGTGATGCGCACACTTAATTGAAGCAAAACACATAACTGACAAAGAATTAAAATACCAAATATAATCGTTACTATAAGAATTAATTTTGAAATGCTGATATCAATCCAACTCCTCAGAGATAAGATTCAATGAGTTGGTTGCTACTTCTTGAGATAATGTTGCACGTCACTGTTTGAAGCGCACAATTCTCAGAAGTGCATGGCTTTGCCCATCATAAAGCTTTTGGCGCCCCTGGCTTTGCATCGCTTCATGGCTTCAAACAATCAAGGAATGGCTTTTAATTACCTTTCATTGACTGTTTGGTTCTATACCTTGAGTGATCTACCGTAAACGTTGTCTAGCACAAGCACTGCACAACTAGAAGAGTAAATTGCAACACTAAACAAGGGGTCTAGTACTGTGAGACCATAATAAGGTTTATTAAATCATGATATTAAACTAAAAGAGAAAATCCAGAAACAGAGGAATCCCAGACTAGGCTACCCATCTCACCCAGATGCACAAAGAGGGGAAAGTGAGTGACTACAAGCATGTGCATTGCCCAAACACCTAAATCTGCAATCATACAATCGCACTGTATGTTGCAACCTGAACGTAGAGATGATCAGGAAGCAGAGGAAGAAATTATAATGTTTATGATGAGAATGTAAAACTCTATTATGAGAAAATACACAGAGTTGGAACCTGGATGATTTTCTCCATCTTCGTAACTTATAGCCAAGCCAGGTCAGTGTAAGGCTGCCTAAAACCATGGGTAAGTTGTAAAGTTCAAATATGTAGCAGCTCAAGAAGTAAGAAAACATTTTTACTTTGATATATTCAAAAGGAATTACATGCTCAAATATGATATATTACCTCCCACTGACCTACTTCAACAGATGTAGTGATTGATACTCAGTGGGATGGATGATGGATGATGGATGATGGATGATGGATGATGCATAATTGAAGGAGTAGTCATGTCAAAATGGCCGCTCCTTCGCATATATCAGCTTATACCTAATTGCCAGCCTCCTACCTCTCAAATAATGTTTTTGGGAGAAGAGAATTTGTGTTGGATAACAACTTTTAAGGTTGAAAGTATCATTCCTGAACCTTAAAAAAATCCAAAACCCACAACAAAAATTCATTCAGAATACCAAATCAAGCTATTCTTTGACAAACTATTTTGATCGAATTAAGATCATGTATCAGCCACCCGTAAGAATATTTGCATAATTTTCATCCTGAAAGGGAAAAGGAATAAAGGACACTATCCTTGCATCCAGACAAATGGCCTTCCACAACAATATATATTCATTCTGTCTTTTAGAATAAAGGCAAACAAGAAGTGGACAATTGAAGTATAAACAGCATAGGGATATGAAAAGAGAATTTCCAATAATTTGTTAGAAAGCCATATTTACATCTGCAACTATGGATATGAAATCAAAGAACTAAACTTCAGCTTTCTTTATCATAAAAAAATTAAAAACTAAACTTCAGCAGCTATTTCTGAAACCTAATGAAAAACTAGTGCTGGGAAAAAAAGGTTTATTCTTCCTTTTCATGTTTCTTTTACAGATAAGAACTGATTATACCTCCAAATGCAATCATAAAATTTGGAAGCCATCACCTTCAAACTTCCACAAAAAGCAAAGGACATTCGAAGGACAACCACCACCTTTGAAGGATTGCTTTTAACCCTGCAAGGAAAATCAGGTTGTTACAAACATAGTGAGAATACAAGAGATGTAATTTTATTGAACAGTGAACTATACCTTTGGAACATTTTCACAAACTTTATACAAATCGGGAGTTATTGAAGCTAGCCATAAACCAGGGAAGAGCGTCTGCAAAGAAGAAGTAAGAAAACAAATTCAGGTCATTCCATAACCACAAGGCAAAATAGACGGCAGAGAAAGTGATGATAAATTCTCACATCAAGTTGTTTCTGAACAGTCTTTACTCTCTTCTTAGGTTTTCTTGTAGCCTTTGATCCAGTCATAGCATATATATCTTCATCAATCTCTTCTCTGGAGAGGGCTATCGAAAACCTAGGCCTTTTTTCCTTTTTCGGAGGGTTGGATTCATTATTTTCTGGCTTGTTCACATTCATGTGAGGCGATTGAGATTTGTTCTCCTGTAGCACCGATCCACTGGCTCGAAATGGACCTCCATTCACATTCAATGATTTTTGTACAGCCTTTCTGGGTCTCAGATTCCACGTCTTTGGTGCTGTATCTTCAGCAGCTTCCTCGTCTGCAGTAACCTCTTGAGATTCATCACCCTTTTGCTCTTCATGGACTTCCTCGGCCTTGTTTTTCCGAGGGATTTTGAGCAAGATTTTCGATCTACCTTCTTTATTCCCAGCCGCATCCACCTCTACTACTTTATGCTTCTTATCTGATTTCTCACAGATCCCTTTCTTCGTACTTTCAGGTGCTGAAATTCGTGAATGCCTACGATACTCAACAACACTTCTGTCCTTGTCCGATTCAGGAATAGATTCACAGTGCATTGGAGACTGACGCGGCAGCACAGACTCCCTCATCGGAGACTGACGTGGAGGCACGGAATCACGCATGGAAAACTGGCGAAACGCCGTAATGGATTCAGACGTCGGAGACTGGCGAGCCGCAGCAACAAATTCAGACTTCGGAGACCGTCGGGATGCCGCCGCAACAGAATCATGCATCGGAGACCGGCGAGATGCCACAACAGAATCACTCATCGGAGACCGGCGAGACGCCACAACAGAATCACGCATCGGAGACCGGTGATTCGCCACAACCAAATCACGCATCGGAGAGGATGATTCGCGCATGGGAGACTGACGAAACCCCGGAATAGGCTCTCGCATGGGAGACTGACGCGCCGCCATGGATTCACGCATTGGAGAGTGAGATTGTGATTGACGCTGCGGCGAATGATGGCGCGACGGGGAAGATGAATCTGAAGAAAGCTTATTTGATCGGCCGCGCTGGTGATTGTTTGAGTGCTGATTCTTCTTCCATTTCAAGTATGGTAAATCAAAGTTGTGAAGTGGGTTACTAGACTTTGCTGGAACTGTAGAAGTCATAGTACAAACAAGAATATCCAAATCTTTTCTTCAAATCAAACAGAAGAGAACAATAAATAAGCAAGTATATCAAGGCGATTGAGTCCAAAAAAATCTCATTGTGACTGAAATCTAAACATATAAAGCAAGATTGAGTTGTTTTGAATTGCTGAAAAGGTATCTGGGGAAGAGAAAACTTTGAAAGAAACCCTAGACAGAAAGAGAGAGAGGCAATGGATGGCTTGAACAAGTGAAAAAGCAAAGTGTATAGAGGAAGACAGTTTATTTGATTACTATCCTGAATCCGGAGATGCACATGGGAGACTTGACACACTTTTTTTCTATTGCCCATTATAACCCTACTGCCCCCACACCCCCAATTAATCACAAATACCCCTTTTTAGATCATCAATTTGTTTTATTAATCACCATGTGTTTTGACCATAATATTTGGAAAATATATTTTACTTTTTTAAAATTGTGATTTATACTCATAAATTCTAAAAACTATCAAAACTAATTATAATTTTTATATTACAGAGCAAGATAGAATAACAAGATTCATGACTTCTGCAACAAGTTGGATCATGAATCTTTGTTGCAATAATAACAAGTATTGTATATGACACTGGAGCAATGTGGTAGTTCGGAGTTAGTCCAACCATTCCATACATAGTGAAGTAGATGAAACACATGACTTTGTTATCCTGAGTCGGTTGTTCGTCATTTTCTTTAATAATCATATCATCACTTTCATATTTGTCACACCACTTCATTTTTTACAATTGTTAAAGATGTGACGGATATTATTTTTTTTATAAAAAAAATAAAGTAAAGGAAAAATAGTTTATTTTTATTTTTTGAATTGCCACTTGGAATTGAGTTTTTTAGGTGTTCCGAGTCACCTGGTAATTCCAAATTTAAAAGGAAAATATTCTTCTTCTCTTTTTAGTCTATGAAACTAAGATTGAGTAAGGAATTCTATTGACCGGAGGGAAGGTGTGAGGCACCCCGAGTCTCGTGGTTCTAGCACGGTCACTTTATTAACTTATGTTTGGCTAAAAATAATTTTTTGGATAAAAAAATCGTGTTTGATGCTAATCTTTGTTTTAAAAATAAAATGATTGGCCTAGGAGCGTAACCGCACAGAAGACCCTTTTAGGAAAAATACACCAAGAATCGTAACCGAACACATGGTAATATTTAATAAATTTATTTTTTAAAAAAAAAATTAAAAATTAATGAATCAAATTTTATTCAATAATGATACACAAAGTTTAATGAATAAATGAACTTGTTGCAACATATAGACATGAAAATGATTATTTTTTTTTGCAAATTGCTAATTAACGACTTTTAAAATATATATATACATATATATATATATATTAAGTATCACTACTTGACAATCACAACAAAAGAAAAAAAGTATATTTTAAAAAAAAAATAGAACAATGACTATGCCCCTTTTAAAATAAGTAGTGATATACTAAATTCTTTTTTTTTTATTTTTATATATTGATATGATTTCAGCAATGACCACTTTGGTAAAGTTTTCAGTTTTAAACAAAATGGTCATATGCTCTCTTTTGAAAGAAAATTGCAGAATATAGTCAATTTTATCTAATAGTTAAATTACTAACCAAAAGTAGCCGGTTTTGTATTTTGTTTCAATAACCATTTTTCATATATGTATTATAAAAACATAATTTATGAAATGATGAGATTTACATCTTTTGCAAAAATGACCAGATTTACATATTTTGTAAAAATGACCAGATTTATATTTTTTTGCAAAAAATGACCAGTTTTGTGTTCTGTTTTTGCAAAAAACAACCTAATTTTTTTCTTTTTCTTAAAATGACCAGAAACTAAAAAAAAAAGACGTTGAGATTGTTATTTTTTTTCTTTGGCAAAGCATGAGTTATGTATCAACTTCATAATGATAAAAATAGATTAACACCTAGTTTAATAATAGAACACAAATATATAATAACAACAAAACATAATTTAACTAATTTCAATAAAGTTATGTATCAACTTTAATGATAAAGATAGAATTAACACCTAGTTTAATAATAAAACACAAATATACGGATAGTAACGAAGCATAATCATATTAAGTATCATAACATATTTAACTAATTCAAATAAACTAAGCATAATAATTTAATAAAAAATATAAACATGTTTCATTATTTTTTTGAAGTTACATTGCAAATGTAGGGAAATAGATATACCTAAAGAGATGATGAAAAAACAATGATGGAAGCAAAACTTAATTGAACTCCTAAAGACCACCAGCGATGAAATACTTTTTTTTCTTTTAGAAGAGGACTTTTTTTTTCTCTATTCTTATGATTTTTACTCTTCTAATTTTTTGTTCTTGTTCATTTTTGTCCCCTTTGAAATGAAAAAATAATGTGTTTAAATAGGCAGTGAATATTAACACTCATTTTTTTTGAAAACTTAAGACTCAATGCATGCATTAGACTCTTTATCTTCCAAGGTGCCACCCAAGATGGCCAATATAATTTTCTCTTTTTTTTTTCTTTTTATTTTTCCAAGATAATAATTAATTAAAAAGCCTTTTAGATGACCCATTTCTTTTATTCATTAATTGAATAATAGCTAAATTGGTCATCTGAAAATTTAAAATAGACCCAAAATACCCTTTTAGATGACCATTTCTTTTATTCATTAATTGAAGGGAAAATTGAATGAAATAACAAACTATTAATTCAAATTAAATGATATAGCCATAGTTTATTTTAATTGTAATTAGCAGCAAACATCCCTGTTTTTTGCCATATACAATTAGTCATTTTCGGTATAAAATGCGTTTGTGTTTGTATAAAGCGAGAGAAAAGTGTATATACAAATACAAATATATATATTTCGTCCTATACACTTATAATTATATAAATACATATCTTATTATACAAATTACAATGTATAAATAAATTTATAAAAAACTAAACAATTTGTATAAAATTGGATGTTTGTAGCGAATTATACAAATCAAAAGCTCAATAGCAAACATAAAATTTGCTATGGAGCGCAATTATGCAAACTATAGCTATAACATACAAATATGATTTTTATGTTTGCTATATGTGAAAGTTGCTCCTAATTGAATAATAGCTAAATGGGTTATCTGAAAATTTAAAACAGGTCCAAATTTTAGACCCATTTGATCAAGACCCAAAAATCAAAATAAAATCAGATCACTAACACAAAATCCAAACATCTAAACTATTTTGAAGATCAAACACAACAAATAAGGCAGAAAATAAAAATAAAAAATAAAAAATAAAACAAAAATTCAAATAAAATAAAATTCAAGCAAAACTTCAACACGATAAAACTTAAAGAACACTAACAAAAAAATACAAATCCGGCACCAAAACGACTTATAGTGTTTTTTTTAAAAAAAATGTGATAATGACGGATTTGGATAGAGGATGAGAGGGGGGAAAGATTGACATAGATTTTCGGGTGAATGAAGGTCGCCGATTTTTTTTGACGGATTTTGGACATAAAATTTATAACAAAGGATAGACCTTGAAGAGCTCTACACATCTATGTAAAGGGTATAGGATGGGGATGAACGGAACTTCGTAAATCTAAAGAAAAAAGTGAAGATTCATATTTGATTTTTCTTAGATCTACGGAGTTTGGCTCTGGATAAGGATGAATGGTTTGCGGATTTGTGTAGAAAAGGGTCAAAGGAAGAAATGGTAAAATTTTTTGGAGATTTTTCAGGCAAAAAGGGTGGTGGCCGGCAGCTGTGGTGGTCGGCCGGCCGGTGGCAAGTAGAAGCAAAGGGGAAAAGAAAATAAAATCTAATAAAAAAATTTGATTTTTGGAATTTTGTAATTTTTGGTAGGATCCCATAGGAGCCTTTGGATAAAAAATATCATGAATGGTTGAGATTCAATCTTGACCATTTCTATTGGACCGGGTCAAAATTGATTGGGCTGTCAGAATTTGATCTAAATCAATCCAATTCAATCAAAATTGGGTCATTTGGACCAATTAAAAAAAATACAAACAAAGACGAACAACTCAAAATACCAATAAAATATAAGAGAATACATTACTATATATTATAGGAGTAAAATAAACACGTCAAAAATTAGGTGTTCACAGCATGCCCCTCTTTGCTTGGAAACATGAAGAGTTTTCAAGAAAAAAAAGTGAATGAAGTGGCTAATTTTTTATTGTTTCAAACTCCGATGAAGCCATTTTGAAAAAGATGACAGAACCTTGCTTCAGAGGTTGCCTACATATCCTTGGTTAAAAGGAAATCAGGTCAGTGTAGTTCGAGAAACTTTGATAGCCGAAACTATCAGAAATTGTGGTCAAAATATTGCTTCATATTGCTTTCCATCATCTACTGTCTATAGTTACAAAGAAAAGAGCTAGAGAACTATGTCTCTCTATATTATAAGAGTTACAAGATCCCTACTTGATGTTTTTTCTTAGGGTCTTGTCTTGATCTACGAATTGCTCAGTGCGTTATCTCTGAGATTGATCTTCATGCTCTCTTGGCGGCTTGTGAATCATTCTCAGGTGCATGTTTTAACTTGAGTTGGCGGTTGAAACTCAAAATTCAAGATCGCAAAATGAAGAACCCAAAAAGGATGTGTTTCTTTTAAGGAAGAAAAAAAATGAGATTCTTGAACTAGGATGTATAACCCTAGAAAGAAAAGGAGAAATGAGACGTATTGCGCTGAGAGTTTCAAATAAGATGTATTGTCTTTGTGGGTTGACCTAAGATTGGGTGTATCACCCAAAAATGTGAATATGGTGTGTATAACCCATGAATGCTGGTGCGTATTGCCCAAGATATGCATATGGTGCGTATTGCCCATGAATGCTGGTGTGTATTGCCCAGGATATGCATATGGTGTGTATTACCCATGAATAGAGGATTGATACGTCTTGCTTGTGAAAAAGGATTGGTGCGCATTGCACATGAAAGAAGACTAGTGTGTATTGCACATGAATGCAATATCAATGCGTATTGTATGGGATTTGGATTGGTACGTCTTGCTCATGAAAGAAAGGCCGGTACGTTTTGCACGTGAATAAAGGACGAGTGTGTATTTGCATTG